ATACAGCTGTTGACTTCTTTTAACAGCCAACCAACTCCAATCAATGTATTTATATCACTAAATTTTAAAAACATCTACACTGTATGCAAGCACTCTTCTGTGCAAATAACATTTGCGCTGTACAAACAATTATATTTCAGTGAGTTTACAAAATACATGACTGTTCACTATTAATTTGTTGCGAAAAATTCTGTCAAATTTGCTAGTTATCCCACTGTTGCTAATTGCCTCTATATTCTTCTTCATGTTCTTGACTTACTACCCACAACATACAGGAGTTAATTTAATCAAATAATAAAAGAAAATTGCTTGCTTTCTTCTCGTTAGCTTTTGAGCCTAGTCTATCACTACAGGTGTCACAACTGCAGGTCCTACGGAAACTTCACACAAGCGCTATGGACACTAGACATTAGGGTGCAGTTCCGCCTAAGCCATTCTTATCATCATTATAAACTGCAAATCCAAATCGAGTAATCTATTTTTGAGACAATGTTCCAGTGAGAAACAACTGCGGATGTTATCATGATCGCTACACAACAGATACATGCGATTGAAAATGAACAATTTTGAAAAACGACACAAATGTACGGCCATAGTGTAAAATTGCTGATTAATAAAAAATACGTCATTAGTAATTCTATCGCAGAAGCCACTTGAAAGCGTCTTTTCGCACTTCAGCCTAACGTATTTAACTGGTAAAATCTGTTTAAATTAAATATCAAATTGCAACTTATTTTGTGCATCCTTTATTTCGCTTCCCTACATTTAGGTTTTCCCCGGTGGCCTAAACAAAACCTTTCTATTTCCTCCTTTTTAACATGGTGCCAATACAAAATCCCAGTTTATTTGTCGGTATTCAGAAAAGCGCGCCAGTGTGCGGGTTCCTAGGAATAAAAGGCAGGTGTATGCAAGCACTCAGGAAAAAACGCATTAAAAAACTTGGAGGCCAGTAGCCACGGGTTTTGCACAAATTTCACCTTTTCAACCTTACAGTAATATCTGGACTAACTTCATGAAGACCGCAAGTTTAAAACGGGACGCATTTATGCATTCTACCAATTGGGTAAACTGGTGGTTTTACAATTAGCTCCATGTTGGGTGATGGACAAATGTATGCTAATTGGAGGGCAATATTAATTCCACTAGTAAAACTAATTTTCGTATTTACATATAATTTATTACATACTCGAGCCTAGCAATGCCTGATCTCTTCCTACATCCAGTTGTCTCTTAGTTTTAATAAGCGCATTTGCCCTCCAAAAATCCAACAAAACACTTCTTACTTTGAGGCACAGCACGTGCTTATGAGGTGCAATAAAATAAGCAGGGTAGATCCACAATTATCTAGCAAAGGCATATTGGCACAAAAAGCAGGTATAGAAAAAGGCGTGAAAGCAAATATTTATTTTTTAACATTATAAAGCACAGCAATCAGGTTCTGCGTGGACTCCATCGTGTACACACAAATGCACGCGCTGCTGAGCCGCCACTGAGAAAGAGATCGTACTCAAGAAGCAGAGAATATGAACACCAAGTTAACCCATTTTTTGCATAGAAAAATACCAGTCCCATCGCATGTGGCTGAACATTAGTTAATTGTGGAATGGGATTTTGCGAAATCACCATACTCATTATATGGCCGCGTTCAACTTCATTCACGCACTCATGCATCATTAAATGCATGAATCATACTTTAAACGAAATGTTGCATTCAGTCCGAATTTCCGTTGTGTCACGTACAAATTGGCTGCTCAAAAATAAGTGTGCGTGCTTATCAAGTCATTTATAATTCCCTTATTTGCATAAACAATACTGTTATGGCACCGTTGGAATAGCCAAATTTTTAGTAAACTGTTTGACTTGTCTTTGAAGAACACTTTAAATCACAGACTTGATAAAATATCCCATTACAACTTTTAAAGAATACAGCGCTTGAGTAGAACTTAAACAACTTTACTCAAATTAGCAGCGCTTTTAGAACTGCTTGCCATATGTATATCGTGCCTTGGAGTAGAAATTACTGATCAAATACTTGGATGCCAGGCTCATTGGTCCTGCTAAGAAGTATACAAATTTAAGAATGATTATTTGAGCGCTGACATAAGATTTAAGCAGCATGTATAAATATTGGTAGCACTCACTGCCACTTCCTTTACCCAAAATACTTTCTCTTTTGACTTGTCATTCCGCTTATTTTTATGAGGCTATAGATCCAATCAAGCATTCAGCGTGATTATGAAGTAGGAAATTATGGAACACAAATCACACTTAGACATAGCCATTAATGACGCGCTTACCAAACTATTAAAAACAGCTACATAAGGATGTTTGGCTTTTATTATATGCATACTTACTTACATAGCCCATCTTGAAACAATTGACCATGGGAAGTAATTGGCATAGCTAGACAGTAAATTGAAGAGAACTAAAAAGTAGAAAAAGGAAAAAGTATTGTTATCAAAAACGATCCATCCTAAATAAATGGGTAACAGGAGAGCATTTGGTATTAGTCGTCAATCATTATATGTCAAACGACTAGTGCATTGGCAAAATCACATACAGATTAAAGGCAAATTTCAGGTGTCAGATGTATCATTATTTTTTTGGCACAAACACAAAATTATCATACCCAAATGGTTACACATTAATGGTGTCAATTAAATTAAAAGTGTTGGGTTGCAAACAAAAATTTATGAACTTACGATTTTTTTAGAGAAAAAAGTGACTTACTTCATTTTATACGAACACATTCCACCATATAACTGAAAACTGAAAGACAGGAAAGCTAAACATTAAAAAACATCACGGACTAAGGTCGACGAATGGAGAAAAACCTACAGGGATGGTATACTAGCATGTGGCGTTGTAGTGCGTCCCACGTCGCAACATCCAAGTAGCATTCCGTACGGTATAGGCGTATTCCTGAATCCCTCGTATTTTGAATTGCAACATAATCTAATAAAAGACGCTGTGGGAGGTGTTCATATAGAGAGCCGAAATTATTGCAGACCAAAAAGGCAGTTGTGACGTGGCTGCATTTAAGCTTACGAACACTTACAAATGAGTCTTCGAATGAATTGTCTTGGGCACTGGCAGCAAGCATTATGGTTGGACACTATTTTTAAGCACTAAAATTTTAATGTTATTTTAACATCAGCACAGAAATAAAACAAAGGTTAACAAAAATGGTTTTCAGATTTACTTTTTTAGTGCAACAAAACGAAACCGGTGGTTGCGAATTCTCTCCGACAAATCGGGCAGTAATCACGCATGCTTGCTGGATTTTGAAAAGTACGTCTAAAACGTGTTGTCATAACTTCCTTTTGTCTTTAAATGCAGCGCCAAAAAGGCAATTAAAAAATTAGTTGCCTTGTAGAATTAATTAGTACACAAAACATGGCTAACCAGAGCAAAGCAGGAATAAATTTATTCACTTTGCTCAGTTCGTTAATAATATCCTACGAAATCCATGCATTCATATTTGCTTTTCTAAAGTAAATGGCAACTACCGAGGTACCGGAGTTTTGTGTGCGTTAGGAAGAGGGTACTGCTATCAAATGCTTATATGCATTCAGTTTGCTATCAGATCAAAATATAATTATTACTCCAGGGATCACTGATCGCATACATAGTGTGCAATTTCAACTTAGCAGACTTTAAGTAAATTCCACTCCCTCAAATTAGCTATTTAACTGCCTTTTACTTTGCTAAGATTAAGGAAATGCTTTCTAATAAACTAAGTCATATGTCCCATATGTTGGAATAAATTTGACGGAACTGAAAAAAAGCATTTTTATTCGTAAGAAATTGTTACTGCTCAGTCTTCTAAAAAAA